TCCTCCAGCAACATATTATTGCAAATAATTTGCCCTGCAAAGTAATTATCAATGCTCTGCTCAGTATGTAAAGTGTGCACTTCAGGTGGCTTGCTTAATTTGCTCTGGGTGGCTATCATCGGAGTGTGGTTTTTACCCGTGGCAGCCGCAGCGGTTTCTAATGGAGATGGTACCAGGAGAGAATGTGAAGTGAAGCTGGAGTGCCACTGTAATTGAGTTGACTTTTTGCAGGGGAAGGTCAACAATAATGGAGCAACAATTTAAACAAATTCATTTAGACAAGTCTCCTGTCTCTGTGAGCTGGTGGAAACGGTCCTTTCTCAGCCCTTTTGCTGTGTTTTAATTTTCACTCGAGAGACTGAAATAAGTTTGCATGCCGCCGCCTGAGACTGACAGGTTAAAAGCAGCTGTCTTTTATTTCAGCTTGCTTTGAAATCGCAGGCGTTACACAATAGACAAACGTGTGTTAGCCTGCACGCTGTGTGAGCAGGTGGAAAAAGACGCCGCGCGCTGTACACAGCCCGCATCACGAGTCGATTATGTATCCAGAAACCTGGCTGCCGCACAGCGGGGCACAATTACAATGGAGGGTGATAATTTAATTGTGCTAAACGGTGAATTCTGTGTCAGTGCTCCTCCAGCTGGGAGCTGTCAGGTAGTTCTATCTCATTATGGCAGGTGAAGAACCCAGAGGAACCCAACCATGACACCTGTTAGAACACACAAGGAACCCCTGAAGGGAAACACACAGATGATTTTCCCACTATCTGACTCACTCACTCTTTCACACACACACACACACACACACACAGAGGTGAACACACGCTCATGCACGCACGCTCGGCGTAGGATCTTTATGGCACTCCACCTCACTTTAAAAGATTAGCTCTTTCTGCCTTTTATTTATTGTTAGTTTTACTGAAAGTGTGCACTTCAGCGTTTCTGCACGTTTTGAAGCTATGCAGAAAAAGAAAGGAAGAATAAACACAGATCTGGTTGAATGAGAATAACTTCTTCAGTGACTTGAAGTTGTTTTTTTTTGCCTTTTGCCAGAGCAGCACTCTGAATTCAAAATAATCCCTTTTCCAGCGGATTTTATTTGTCTCCTTCAATAAATTCTGATTTCCAGTTTCAAACCACTTTTTGAAAAAGCCAGGAGCAACTTTATTTATTCAGTCAAACTACCAAACATACCCCCATGCCCTTTATCAGAGGAACACTCCCCTAAGAGAGCGCACTTAGCTGTTTTTATTGATCACCGTCTTCTTCGTTTTTTTAAATCCGTTTTTATATTTTATCCTCTGATCTGATACGTGAACACGGGGGCTTGTGATCCTAACCTGAATGTGCACGACATCAGCAGTGACCCAGACAAGTGTGCAGGGTGGGTTGGTGGTGGTGGGGGGGTGACGGTGTGGAGTTACTCATCACCATTGTCTATAAAAGGTAAACAGTGTGAAAGAGCAGATCCAGCGGCTGAAAGCCGGTCAGACCCTTTTATGATGAAAGAGGAAACGGGATAGCCGGGGACACGTGGCCCGGCAGTCACAAGACCCCCCAGAGACGAGCGGCACGCAGCACCCCCACTAATACTTACCAATTAGGCAGAGGTTGTTTTGCACGATGATGAAACATTATCTCAGGGAACAATTCATGACTCAAAGCATTCCAGACCATCTGAGCCCACGGCTGGAGAACTCAAGTCCTAATCCTTCAAATGTGCGCAATATTGTCAGCTATAAATAGACCACGCTGCTGTTTTATCTGACCCTGTCTCGTCTCAGGTCCACGTCTTCAAAGTGACTCGCGCTTTGTCTGTAAGAAGGACAAATGCCCTCAGTGCCCTGTAATTAGCGACCTGACCTGTTTGGCATGTTTGTATTTTATTTTATAAACTAGAATTGGAGCCCGTTTTCTTGCAAAACGGATGAAATTATTAATGTGAGGAAAGTTATTTCAAGAATACTCTGCAGTTGCACAAACGGGGTTGTTTTTGCGGATGTTATTTTGCGAGCATGGAGGCCAAGAGTGTAAACAGCGCTATTCCATCAGAAAATATGATCAAATTCCACATGCTGCAACTGAATTCTGCTCCCCTTTTTCTTTTTTTAATGCCTCATCAAAAGGCTTTGTTGTGTCAGTGCCGATCCATTGCATGCACACACACACACACACACACACACACCCTCTCTCTGCTTTAGATCTCAGAGTTGTGTGATCCTAAATATGAGGAGTAAAATACTGTACGGCTGCCCTCAGATATTTTCAGAGAATTATTGCCACACTTCCCCTTTTCCCTTTCAATAATATGAGGTGGTATTGTATGGGGCTTGTCAGAAATGGGGGTGGGGCAGAAGGATTTCTGTGCACTCTTTAGCTGCCTGAGCGCAGCCCTCCCAGTGCTGCTAATAAATTATTAACTCTTGCTGACAAATACTGTTATGGAGCCTGCTGCAGATCTGTTGCATTCTTTAACAAGACTGCTGTAGACACATGTTACAGGAGGATGGAGTCTCCACTGCTCCCCGTCTTCTCTCCTCGTCTATCGTCTCTTCTCGCTCACGCCTCAGCAGCTTGACTGATGGCTGGAGACCAAAGTAAAAGTGCCTCAGAGACTGAATATTTTAGTGGTTAAAATAATACCACTTGATTTACTGTGTAATACAAAAGCAGTGCTTTGTTTCGCGCTCTCACCCCACTGAAGACGAGGTGCTCGTTTCGCTTCAGGCTCAAGCTTTTTGGGAGCATGAATAAAAAATACGTTAAATTCTACACAATCGGCCCATACGCACACACACACACACACACACACACACACACACACACACACACTCACACACACACACACACACGTACGCACACATGCACACACACACACACACACATTCCACTTACATTCACAGCCTGAACTTTGCTCTGACTCTTGATATTCAATTAACAGTACAGGATTTGGAGCTCAGCTTCTATTTGATATAATTGCAGGAAACAGTTTAACGGCTGATTAAAAGCCAGAGTGAAGTCCTACTAAAAACACAGCCGACAACACTTGGAAAGACAGACAGGCAGACGAGCAGAACAACACACTCACACATCTACTCTGTTGGTAAAACGTTTCCGCTTGAACTTTTTTCCAAATACTGTTTTATTTTCTCACGTTGTCGTAAATGTTTCTTTATGCTATTCACACAAACTTATGAATCACTTAAGAAAAAAAAGTCCAAATTCTGACTGTCAGACCTTGTTCGTAATGCACCCCCTCTACATTTATTGTATGTAGACGTGCAAGTGCTGAAGAGCTGTCTAACTGTTTACCGTGACACTCTGAAAGACGACCGGTCCTCACCTGAACAAAGATGGCGACGGCTCAGGATTGGCGCTCGTTTGAAACGGCTTTGGCGTTAACTTTGGAAGGTTGATTTAGGTTTAGTGATTTAATCTTTGGCTTTTCTTACTTTTCTTTTTCCATCTTATTCTTCATCTTCTACGGTGTATGGCTGATTTCTGTCACTATGAATATGTTTCGTGTCAGTTCCTCTGATTGGTCCTAGCGCATTGCATGCAGGAACATTTTGAAAGACATCCGTAGAGTCCATCCCTATGACTGAACAAAGATGGCTGCTCAGGAATGGCGCTCGTTTGAAAGGCTTTGGCATTACACTTGGATGCTTTAAATTTGGGCTTTTCTTCTTTTTTTTCTTTATCTTCATCTTCTTCAACTGTGAATGGCTGTCTGCCCCGTTGTCTGATTTCTAATACTATGTTATGTTGTTAGCTGCTCTGATTGGTCCTGGCGCTGTTCAACTGTGTGCAGAGACAGTTTGGACGGGTACCATAGACTCCGCCCCTACTGAACTCTCAGTCGTGGCTAGACTACATATTTCAACAGATAGGATAGTCTTATAGGCTAGGACTGATGGTAATTGCAGATGACACCTTGTACACAGAACTGTACCCATTGCACGGATAGACATACCCGTAACCACGTTTTTTCCTGGTCCGAAGAAGACTGATCTCTCTGGTTTTAATGGTCAACATCCTCCAGTAGAGGAAAAGGAAACAGAGCAGCAACAGCTCTGGGAAAAAAAGCAGATTAAGAGCTAAATATTCTCCAGCTCCCTTTTCCCACTTCACTTCATAGGAAGGTCATATCATTCCCTTTTTAATTTAATACCAAACGCATAATTAGATTTCCCGGTGCAGTGTTTAATTTCACTCATTGTAACACACAGCATGAGTGCGGCCTCATTAATTGTGAGAAAACAGTAGAATCGGGCGTATTAATTGTACGCTAGAAAAAGATGGGCTGTTAAAAATAGATTAAAAAATGCAGAAATTAGAATAAAAATTGGTTTTCATTGTACCTGATTAGTCAAGTGCACTTTTCACTGTAATGTTCATGAAAGCATTTGATGGGATTGTAAAAGCAGTCGTCAGTTTTTGGTTTTGAGATCCTTCAGTTGCATTTGTTTGGCTGCAGCGACTGAAATGCTATTAATTCTCTCATTTGTTTTGTGAAAAAAGAAAAGAAGTGTAGGTTCATGGCGCCTAAAAGCTTTTGGTTGAACATGTGAAAGAAACTGGAAGGGTTTGCAGAACAGAAATACATTTGTTTGGCTAATTAAAAACAATTAAATAAACATGTTTACAGGTGGTGTAGGAAAGTAAGAAATGAGGAAAAAGCGACCTTGCTTTTGTCTCTTTGGAAAACATATCTGGCGTTTCACTTTTAATCAAGATTCCTATTGGTTGACCTGCTGTCTGAGTTCCTATCTCGGGGTTTGGGCCAGAACCCGAGTGGGCAAAAGTCCAGCCTCAGTTCAATTCACCCCTCAGTTTCAAACAAAAGATCAGGGAACCCCGCAGACCAGAGCAGCAACAGGTGACAGTGAACAAAAGCATTCATTTATTATGGGGAATTGAGTCTGCAAACTCAATTCAACAGCTTTCATCGCTATTTTAATGCTTTTTTTTCCCTGCTCTGTCGTTTTAATTCTCTGCAGCAGAGTCATGTCTTCTAAGCAAGCGACATCTCCTTTTGCCTCTGTGGTTGATGGCGACGACGCCATGGGTCAGGAGCACTTACCCTGGGAGAAAGATGAGAGCGCAGAAGCTCACGGCACACCTCAGCTGCCTCTGCACAGCTTGCTCCACGGAAAAGCCCCGGACGAAATGCAGCCGCTGAGCAGCGTCCCGCCGGAAAGCGACTGGGACAGCCTGGTGTCGGCACAGCAGCGCATGGTGAGACCGGCGAGCTTTCAGTCACAACAAGCATTCATTCTGAATAAGAGGACTTTTGAGGATATCTTAAACCTACCAGTTTGCTTTACTGTATTTAAAATCCACGCTTCTCCATCACTTTGTGTTTCTGCCTTAAAAAAAAAACTTTGGCGAATTCTCCCTCCCCTGCCCTTCGACCACCATGGTTTCTTTAGCTGCCGAACCTCGGGGATTCTGGGATCTTCAGAAAGAAAACCGTGCCAAACACCACATCAACGAGCTGTTTCAGGGTCAAACGGAGGATCTCCTAACTCTTCTGAATGATGGCACACAAAATGGCAATATTTTAGATGAAAGGGAGATGTGTCAGCTGTACACACAACGTTATGCTCACTTTGGATTCTTGTTGCTGTTTAAAAAAAACACGCTTTTCTTGTTGTGTGAGAGTTATGTAGCAGCAAGACCCCAGACTGTACATCCTGTGTGCGGAGCTGCTTTGATGTAAGCATAGAGCTCTTGTTGGCTGCAGGAGGCAGGTGGTTGTCTGTGACAGACGAGACTGTGGTTAAAACACCGAGAGGGTCTCTGAAGTAACTCTGCGTTTGGCTACTGAGACCCTCAAAACCTTAACAATGCAGCACACACACACACACACGCACACGCACACACACACACACACACACACACACACACACACACACACACACACACACACACACACACACACACACACACACACACACACACGCACACACACACACACACGCACACGCACACACACACACCAATGCTTTCTATACACCTGTTAATTTTCAGTTACGCTTCTCATCGTGACTGAATGTAGTTTAATTAGACTTTATTTGTATCTTTAAGTTTATTTAACGATTTGAGAGTTCTGGAACTTATTATGTCTGAAAAACGTGTTCACACCTGATGAAAATGATGCCTAGGGAATGTAAATATGATAAAACTACCAAAACATTTACGTCATGAATGTCTGATGTGAAAATATTAAGAGGGAACTGAGTTTATTGGCTAAATATTCAACACTTTTATGTCAATTTTGCAAATTATAATGTGATTTATTAATAAAATAGACATTATTTTATTGAAATGTGGTTAACTTTAACCATAAAAACCCTTTATTTCATTATTTAAACATCATTTAATAGAAGTTAAAAAAGGGAAATGAACAAATCTTCTTTAACTCACTGATGTAGGGGTAAGCCAGGGGGATGGGGAGGATAGAAACAAAGTAGAAGGAATGGGAAGACTACTGATTACCTGACTCCCTCGCTGCTCCATGCGTCTGTGTGGGCTGTGCCCTGAACCCACGCCAGCTGATTAACCCAGTACTTCCCCCCTACCCCTCAAGCGCTCTCCTCTGTCTCTGCTGTGCTGCAAAACCGTCCAACACAGGGCCAGGAGGTGCCGTTTGGTCGTGCCACCTCGCCACTTGGTAGCAAACCACCCTGCGTGCCACCGCAAGTCTGCTTTCAGCTCGACATGCCACATATGGATGAGATTTTGGCACGGTGAACGCTCCGGCCCCACTTTACCGACTCCCTACGTTTTCTTCAGGAGTCTGCGCATGTGGTTGTGTTTGAGACAACTGTGTGTTGTTGTTCTCTCTGTGTTGGCCCAAGTTTAAATCAGATGTAACTGTTCCCCTGTTAAAGCCTCCAACTCCTGGCTGCTTAGCTACCTTCTGGTTTTTCCTGCCTCCAGAAACCATAATTAACACCACCTTCTGTCAGTCTGCGCAGACCATACACTCCCATGTGCAGAGTATTCTCCTCCCCCATTCTTCTTCACGTCTCTGTTTGTGCACAGGGAGCACTCAGCCAGTCAGCCAGAGACAGGACCCTTAGTTAAATACTAAACCATGCACAGGTGGGACAAAAAAACAACAACAGCTCGAGACAGCACGCAGATTTACGGACGCTCGAGGCACTCAGCTGAGAATAGGTCTCCACTAGAAAATGAACAAATTACACAGCAGTCACCCCAACACAAATGCACTCTCAACAGCAATTTAGGAGATTATAGTTGGGAGGTTTCTCTGTGTAATCTGTGTGGATGAATAGTAAAAGCTGAGCACATTATGGATATGTCCTTTGAAAATGCACCTCATCATTTCATCTCAATTTTTCACTTGTCGTGTCTCATTTAGCAGAGCAGCTCGGCAGCTGTTGAAAACGCCGGAGCTGTTGTGTGAAAGCCACAGAAGATACGTTCAAATCGGCCCTGAGCTGTAAAAAAATAATATGGAAAATGTAGCAATCACCGCATTTGAATGAGTGACTGTCAAAGCGCTCAAAGAGCTTTGACAGCACAAAAACACACTAATCATTAAAAACGCGTTCATTTTTGCTTCTCACACTAACTTTTTTATTTGTGTCCCGCAGGAATCTGACAGCAATAAAGTATGCTCCCTGTACTCCTTCCGGAACAATTCCACTTCTCCACATAAGCCTGAGGAGGGGGCCCGGGAGCGAAGTGACCTGCTGAGCGGATCAGCGTTCGGAACTCCGGAGCGTCGCAAAGGAAGCCTGGCAGACGTGGTGGACTCTCTGAAGCAGAAGAAACTAGAGGAGATGACAAAGACAGAACATGATGGTATGAGATCTCATGTGTGTGTGTGTGTGTGTGTGTGTGTAAGTTCAGAGTAAATCTGTAAGAACGCCTCCTAAATGTCCGCCCCTCTTTAATACAGGTTTTGCGCTTCCTGACTGTCGGCCTCTTTCCTTTATTTTCCCTCCATCTCACACACTCCTGCGAGCTCACACAAGCTGGGATTACTGACGTTTTAGTCTTTCCAGTTTAAATTTTTTTTACTGCAACCCTTCCAGTGTAACAAAGACTGGCACTGTGGCAGTGTACCTCAGCATAAGTGTGGTCCTCTTTCATGCCAAGAAAAACTCAGACCATAAAACTCATAGTGCTGACCCGATGCCAGGAACATTACCTCTCCCTTTATTTTGCCACACAGACCACTTTTCACTCCGAGCCGTTATACATCAAAGTCCCACCGACAGCTCGAACCCTTCTCAAAGATCTCACCCCGAATTAATGTACCTAATCAGTTCATCTTTCCTCGACTCATCACACAATCTGAGAGAAAGACATCCATGTCCTGTGAGAACACTGCTAGGTTTCTGTCATTTCTGCAGTGTTTGGCCCTCCTTGGCTCTTCCTCCTACAGCCTGCAGTCTATCAAGAGTATGGCGGAAAAACAAATATTTGAAAGAGCTGCTGAAACACATCCCCCTTCTTAATTAGGGCTGTAGTAATATAACTACATCCAATCATATGCTAAACCCCCTTGGGAATCCATGTGTCTCATTTAGTGTCTGGGGAGCTCTTAGCTTAAGCACTTCATCAGACGAATAAATTAGACCTCTGTTAGCCTAAAAATTATTTGCCACTTCTTTTTCTTTTTTGTGGTTGTTTTTAAAAGAAAAAATTGAGCACGTGGCGATCGTTGTAACAGAGCATTACAGCAATTCTCACCCGCCCACATCCTCATTTCAGTGATTGTTATAGTTTATTTTTTTTAGATATGATCAGACCCAGCAATCAGCGCTTCCGCCGAGTGCCAATAAATAGGTTTTTCTTTCAAACTATTTTAAAAAGAGATAAATGAAATTGGTTAGCATGACTCGCCCAGGTAGAATGGTCAGGTTGTGTGTGTGAGAGACTGAATGACAGACATGGGTATTATGGGTATGATGTTTTCTTAGGCCGTGTACACACATACGTAGCTGGGTATCCCACAAAAGGAAGATGTTTTTCTACGGTTTGGTCTGTCGTCCACACGAAAGGGAAGATAAATGGCACCAAAAACGATTCTTTCAGAAACACGGACATTTTTAAATTCTCCGTTTTCAGCATTTGCTTGAGGATGTGCCAAAATGCGGTTTTAGGTAACGCGACACCGCTTCATGCAACAAAAATGCTCTGACATCACATGTGCGACATGTGTTGACACTCACTGCTCTAGGAGGTCACAGGCAAAACACAATGTTAAAGATGGCTATTGGTGGCCACCTAGTTATTGCAAGGACACCAACAATTTGGGGAATTACTGCCACCTACAGGCTTAACATGTCAATGAATGTGTTGCACAATGCAAGGTGTTGTGGACCCAAGTTTTTTTTCCTAAAATGGGCAGGGAAGGGTATACGGTTCTCTAAAAACCTGCCTACATGTGATCAATTGATCGTTTGGTTTCAAGGTTATTTTAAGTATATCTTCAACATCTTACTGATGATGATTTTTTTTTATTTTTTTGCTGCAAGATTGTCAATATTCTCAGTAGCAACACTGGACATTTTGTTAATGAGCCCCAGCTGGCGAAGACTGGTTGTTGGGATAATTTAAATGGTCAAGTGCAGCTTGTAATCCAGGGCCGTATGTTAGCGCAGGAAGGAGAGGGTGCTTTGGAGTGCCATACAGCTGTTTTAATCTCCTGTTAATAATAGTGGCTTGGTCCGCCTCGTGCGCTGTGGATCACCACCACCTAAATACACTCCCTTGTTAGAGGAAATTAGTTTCTGAGCAGAGAGCACAGCAGAAGACAAGAGTCTCACAAAGTTCAGCGTGCTGTCCCCGTACTGCGAGAACTGAGAGTTACTGTGTTGTCAAGGGCTCTCGAGGAAGCCTCAGTGGTGATGATCAGTGATTACTGTAAGATGGGGGAGGCGGACTCTTTCAAACTGCCTGCAGAAAACTTAACAGCAACCTTAGAGAAATTATAATCTTGTGTCTTTGTTCATGGAGAGAGACACCGTTGGAAATGAAAAGGGATGGATTAAGCCATTAAACAACACACAGGGCTGATGGAGACGCCGCTTGATGTCTAAATGATGTTTCTAATGCGTCTGAAGCAACAGAAAAGCTAAGTGTACAGCTTATCTACATGCACAACAACTGTTGTGTCTAATTCTGCTGCTTTGGTGCCGGCCTGGTTAGGATTCACAGGGGTCCTCAGGGACCCTTCACCATCTGCTGCCATTCTTCTTAGTTTCCTCGTCAGGTCAAGAAAGTTCACTGTGCTGGTACTCAATATAAACCTGAAGTGGAAAGTGAAATGGTTTCCAGCTCTCTCCAGTTTATTTCTCACAAAGAATTTTAATAGTATACAGTGACTGGTTGACAGTTAATTTTATGAAGTTGAAAATTCATCTTTAGCCTTTTGTTAGTTTTGTTTGTAAAAGGGATGTGAATCAACACAAATGACACACCAAAGAAAATCCTCCGCCGTGGCATCTTAGGTTAATTGCTATTCATCCATCCATCTATCCATCCATCCATTGTCTGAACCCGCTTTGTCCATGTAGGGTCCCGGGGGGTGGGGGTGGGGGGCTGGTGCCTATCTCCAGCGGTCAATGGGCAATCAGGCGGGGTACACCCTGAACTCAGAGAGCCAGTCCATCGCAGGGCTATTGCTATTCAGTAAGAATAAAATCGTGATGGTTTTAGTAAACTGACCTGGAAGACCTTTTACATACTTCTACAAGTCCATCTGTATGTTAACTGATTCACACATGCCTCGTACCATTCTAACTCCAGTCTCATACATGCTGCAATATTACACAGATTACTTCATTGTCTATTAGGGAAATTATTTTTGGTTTCTTACTGGAAATTTTATGTATTTTCTTCAATTGGATGATTGGAAAATACCAGTTATTTCACACAGTACTGTCTCAAAACACTGTGTGTTACAGGTGAAACTCAAAAAATCAGAATATGGTGCAAAAGTTCTTTTATTTTAGTAAATCTACTTAAAATGTGACACTAATGTATGAGATAGTCTCATTACATGCAAAGCCAGATATTTCAGCCTTTATTTGTTGTTCTTGTGATGATTACGGTTTACAGCTTATGAAACCCCCACATTAAAAATCTCAGACAGTTAGAATATTTTGAAAAGGTTCACTATTCTAGTGTCACACTCTAATCAGCTTATGACTCCAGAACACCTGCAAAGGGTTCCTGAGCCTTTAGATGGTCTCTCAGTCTAAGATGAATGCAATTCAATTCAATTCATTTCATTCCAATTCAATTCAAAGTTACTTTATTAATCCAGAGGGAAATTAGAGTTTCGGTACACACAATTCTGAGATCAGACATACATACATAGACACATGACAGAATTGGTGACTGTGGTCGTTTGCAACCCAAGTCGCGCTACCTTAACAGAGATCAGAGGGTTTATATGAGGATTGAGTCAGGTGCAGGATTTACTGAAGTAAATGGAATTTAGTGCGATATTCAAATTTTTGGAGTTTCATCTGTATATTTTTTTTCTTGTGGACCATTCCAGACTGGTATAAATGACTATAATGTACAGCTTTCGACATATATACTGGACAATTTGTTTCCATAGGCTCCAATTATACGTTTTTGTGCCAAATGGGAGGTTCCCACCACCGCCATGTTGACCGTGTCACAGGGTCCGTCAAGCCCAGACAATTCCAAAAAAGGGAAAAGAGGTGGAGCTGAGGGTGGGGCTGTAAAGCTGGGAACAAATGACAACACCCGTCGAACTGAAGCGATGTAGCTACAAGCTAACCCAAAGCTAATACGGAGGTGGGAGCTAAGCTAACGGAGGTAGCTATACCTAGCTCCAACCGGAGTTAACTATGCACAACACCGGAGCTTCTGAGTCAGAGATGCGCCGAGCTGCCGCTGAGGGGAGAGGACCATACCGATAGTCAGAACCCAGCTCCACCAACATGTCATATTTCAACCCATTTTCTAAAGTGCAGCATTATGTTAAATGCACTGGGTTTTACCCTATTACATTTAAATTTCATGGTTAAACACTACATGTTAATTACATGTTAAAATCTAAGCTCAGCTAGTGCAAGAGCAGCAGTGACCTTAAATACATAAATTTTATGTTACTTACAGAAAAAAATGAAGTGGAGACTCCTTGGACTCTCTATTAGTGCAATTAATGCCACAGCAAGTCATTTTGTCCAACAATTGCACAAATAATATCCAAAAAGAATGCACAAACGCTACAACTAATGGTCTAGGTTGAGAGACTGAAAATGGCGGAACAGTTTTCAGGCGAGGCCGAGGCTCAGACAGAGGCCTTTCCCCGGAGCTAGCTCTGCGGTCACGTGGGTCTGATACTCATTAATTGTACAGAATTTTACACATTTAATACACTTGAACAGAAGAGTGAGAAAAAAATTCACCCCCCTCAGAGTTGTCATGAGTGTTAACTAGATTTATTAAACCTAAAACATGTTTTGGAACCAGGCTGTAAACATGTTTATTTCTGCTGTGAAATTGGTATTTTTAACATGGGAGTCAGTGAGGAACTGCTTGCTTCTGACACCAGCCCCCAGCAGATGAGGGTGGAACTGCAATTTATTTCACTTCCGTGTTGGCTTCATTTTCAGATCCGAATTATGGGGGCTTGTGTGCAGCAAACAGGCTCCCGGGGTCAAATGAACAATTAAACAAACCCAGAAGCACGGATCCAGTATTTATCTGGACTGAGCAGACCAGGGAGGGTCCAAATTAATAAATGGTAATACTTTTATGTCTTCATTTACCATTGGGTTTTCTTTTAACTAAATTATTGTCTACATCCCCTC